AAATGCTGATGTGCTATGTGCTAGGAAAACTTGTAAGCTGTGAAAAGCACTTCATGTGGCTCTATTTGCCATGTTTTGATTTCAGTGCTAAAGAATGAGCACGTGCAAGTTGGTTTATGTAATGACTCAAAGCAATATTCCCCATGATGCAAGTCAGGATTTTTTTTTTTTCCAGAGGATTATTCGAAGATTATTTAGGTTTCTTCTTGCAAGAAAAGGTTGAGCTGTACAGCACAGTCTCACAGCTGTAATCCACCTTGTTGCTGTGCCCAGTTTACATCTACCTTTCTGTTGGGCTCTGCAACCTTCCCTGATGATTTTTGTGTGCATGGTTGGCTTCGTCACCGCTCATCTGCTGAAGATTGACTGACATGCTTTACAGTCCTGTATGCCTCGAGAGTTGCTAGCTTAATTTGGTGACAAATCACCCTCAACAAAAAAACCTATTCAGACGTCATTCCTAGGACTAACCCCTAACAATATCTTTGATCTTTAAAGTTCCAAGTGACCGGATTTCTAATTCACCCAGTTACACATTCATTGCCAGACGGAGCAGTGTACTTCCTGAAAGCATTATATGCTGCACAGCAGGAGATGCATGCAAGCGGAACTGCTATAACAATACTAATGATGATCATTCTAGTGACGGGCTGTGTCTGCACTCCAGTGACTTATACTGTTGTAAAGTTAAAAAAGTCTGGTCCACAACGTTCAGGAAAAACTCTACTGGAATGTCCCTAACAATCAGCTTCCTAGTGAAAAATGCAGAACATGTTTTAGTCTAACATCTCAGTAAATACAATCCTCTTTTTTCTAACTCTTATGCTTTACAACTTCAGTAGAATATGGAGTTGCATCTGGTTCATGCTAGGGATTAGCTAGAGCTGTGAATGTGAGCTGCTTAGGTGGAACAAGTTACCTAGAATTAGAATAAACTTTCATGGTTACTCCTGACACTTTTTGTTCTAAGTGCCATTATAAACCAGTTGTGGAAAATAAATAGTAGTTCTAGCCTAGTTTACAGCGGTCTTCTCAGGCTGTGAGTTAAAAGTAGCATCATCAGGGTTTAAATAAGTGAGCTTCAAGATTTCTTGAAGGTTACTGGAATAAAGTGGTACTAGGGCACAGTGAAGCAGCTTTGTAAATCCAGAATTGTTGCATGCCACAAATAGAAGTTTATGTTGTTTCTCAGCCAAGTAAGAATAAGATTCAGTGTCTGATTTCCATCTTCTTGGATTTGAGTAATATTTCTTTCTGCAGGAATATAATTGGGATACCAACTGCTGAATTCTCTGAAGAGAAGTGTGGTATGGGGGAAACCTTGAATCATGGCCCTGGGATAGAATTTGCTTCTGGTGCCACAGTGGGCACCTGTGATCACCTTGCACAGATCTTAGAAAAGGTGGAGAGCAGAGGCCCTGTCTTCCATCCCTTGGCTCTCTGCTGTTGGGTACTAGGTCCCTGTGAGGCATGAGGAGGTGTAGAATACTGATTTTTTTTTTTTTTAATGCCAAGGAAAAACCCACAGGAAGCTGAAAGGAGATGAGGCTCTCCCTGGGAAGGTCTGACTGGAGTTTGCTGCTTTCTGTAACTGTCTCAGAAATACAAGTGGAGAATTCAAAGTACAAGACAGATGAACAAAGAAGGCAACAAAGTGGAACTAGTAACAGCCCCAGGGAAAACCAGAACAGACAAGGAAGACTGTTACAAAGTGCTCATAAAATTTACATGTGAGTAGTAATGTTAAAATTGTACTTGATTAACTCCTCACTCGACTGAATCTTGTCTAGATGAAAATATGTTATGATGAAAATAAGTTATGTTTCTGTCACCTGACACTGAAGGGACAGATAGTTCTTTTAGGGATCCTTGGCAGAATAATACATGATGGCAGCATTAAGTTGTAGTTTTAATTAAAGCTTTTTTTCCTTAACAAAATATTATGATTAATATAGCACAGAATTTATTATTAGAATGGCACAGGATTTCCGCAAGCAGAATCCATGTAGTAAAATTTCTAAGTAGCATAATACAGAATTTATAATGGTCCTGGTTTTGGCTGGGATAGAGTTAATTTTCTTCCTAGGAGCTGGTACAGTGTTGTGTTTTGGATTTAGTGCAAGAATAATGTTGGTAATGCACTGATCATTTAGGTGTTGCTAAGTAGTGCTTACCTTAATTTAAGGATTTTTCAGTTTCCCGTGCTCTGCCAGCGAGGAGGTGCACAGGAAGCTGTGAGGGAGTGTGGCCAGGACAGGTGACCCGAACTATCCAGAGGGATATTCCATACCATAGGATGTCACGCTCAGTACATAAACTGGGGAGTTGGCTGGGGGGTCAGTTTGGAGCTTGGATACTCTCTGGGCATCGATCAGGGGGAGGAATGAGTGAGCAGCTGTGTGCTACTTAGTTGCTGACTGGGGTTAAACCATTATGATAATACAATTTAACTCATAATTTCTAATCTCCTGGACCCTTTGTAGATTGGGCTGGATCTTAATACATGGTTTACTGTATCAATATAACAATCACTTGATAATCTAAACTCAAAAACCATATATAAAAATACAAGTCACTCCATCCTTCGAGGAACCAGTGGAGACATCCCTGGCTGCTGTGGGGTCCTGGGTCTCCCTGTGCTTCTGCAGTTCTGGTCCAAGTTCTTTCTTAGGACTTGTAAAAGCTTGGTTTTACAGACAGTGCTCTGGCTGCTAAGCTTCCCTGTTCTGTGACCACTGGGTTTGCTGAATGCCTGGGGCCTTCAAGGCTGGTAAGGAGGTCAGCCTGGCACCCAGGAACTTTTAGGCCAGTAGGGAGGGGAAGAAATCTGTTTGGTTTCTCTGCTGGGTGCACAGGACCTTCAGGGCCTGATAATGAGGAGAATGAATGTATGACCTGGTTGGTCACAGAGAATGGCTGCTTGCCCTATAAAATGGTGTTAGGCTGATGTTAGTTCTGCTGACTACATTACTGGAGTTCAGGAGCAAGGCGTACTGGTCACAGTTCCTTTTAAGAACAGCTTTACAGACAGCATCTTAAATTCTTTTAATCAAATACTAACAATCTATTTATGATTATTCTTCACGGTCTTCATTGGTTCAGGTTCTATCTCAGCCATTGCCTAACTGTGAGAAAGCAGAATTTCTTTGAACAATTACAAAGTGGATGTGTAAAATTTTTTCTCCTTCATAGAATTTTCACACCTATATTATTGCCCTCTATACACACAGCTGCTTGCTTTGTTAGCTTTCTTACACGTCCCTGCCAGACAGATAAAGCCTGTCTTGCACTGTAAGGTTTTGAAGCAGTTGCAGCCAGTGGTAGTTGTAAATGAATCTTAATCCTGACAAATGTACCACTGCATTGCAGACTAGAGTTCATTTGTTGTGTATTCCCTTTGTTAAATACACCAGAATACCATGCAAAGTCAGATGTGAATGAATGCAACAAAGATTATCTGCAGCTCTGAAGCATTTGGCTCATTACTACATGAAACTGTGCTAGGCAATCTGCTTTGTGAGGCAGAGTTCATGACATCTGTGATTACATGCTGCACATTGAATTTGGCAAAAATAATCAGGAAAAGCAACTTGTTTGCTAACACTCTGAAATGCAATATGCTGCCATTCAAGTTCAAAAGTAAATTATTTTATTAACATTCCTGTAAGAAAATACATTGCCAGAGCTTTTGGTAAAAGGCTTGGGTACAATCAACTTTGAGTTAATATTTGGACTGTGGAATTTTCAAACTCCCCTGGTCTTGTGGCATGCTGTGGTAAGGAAACACTGCTGACTTCAGACAATGCGGTTCAAAGGTAACTCCTAGTGTCTTCTCCCTGACATCAGAGGCTGCAGAAATTGTTCATTGTAACAGAATCAGCAGGCTGACATTTCAAAACACTTATCAATGCTGAATCTGGGGCTTTACAGTTTTTACCCCTATAAACAAAGAAAAATGAATACTGAGAAGTATTTACACTAAGAGAAACAAAAATTCGTCATTGTGCTTCATAGTTCCACAAACTATGTGGAGTGAAGCATGCTGTTAATATTGCATAATCAGCAATTGCCTGTGCTTTCTTGACAGGGATTTTTTTTTTTTTCCAGTGAGTAAAGCTTTTTCTTTGCATATTTTTTTTCCCCTCCCAGTTTTCTAACTCTGTTTTCCTCAGGGTGTCTGAATCAGAGCTTATGAAATACTGCTGGCTGTTCCCTGCAGGCCTGTTGCAGATGAAAATATTTGACATGGTTTTGATTTAGCAGCAATTCAAGATTTAATGGTGTGAGGTGGATCAAAAGGTTGAATTTTAGCAGCACTTAATGAGTGACCAATTTAAGAATTAACAAGGTGATTTTGTGGAATATTATAATTAAAACAGCAACTTAATTACAGATTCAAGAATTACAAGATTAACGCTAATTTACTATAAGGTACACTAATTCAAAATACATACATACATATGTATAAACACAAAGTGTACACACAGAGAAACAGAAATGTTTGGACCCAGTGAAATATTTAGACATCCACAATTGTTAAGGCAAATGTATGTAGTTAAACACAAGATAGGTAGAGAGGTGGATGGAAGAGGCTACCCTATAGTTAAAATTTCCCTTTTCCTGAGTTTGGAGTAAATATAATGCATAGGTAGTTCTCAACAGGTGATAACTGAGAATCAAGAAGTCTGACTTCACACTGACTTCAGCTTTGTGGGTAGACGGTCTTCAAAATTTGAGAAGCTCAGTGGAGGTGCTGGTCACAGCCTGCTGTGGTCCAAGATTGCTCAGAGGGTCTTGCTTAGGGTCTCGCTATTTATAGGGTCAATTGACTTTAGTCAGATACTGGTACTGGTTGGACTTCTTTACCATTTCAGCTCGGCTCTGATGAGGAAATACTCTGGTACTTTCCACCAGCTGCACAGGCCCAGAACTTGCTAGATTCTGAAGTTGTGGTATCACTCCCTTTGGGCCATGACCCCTGAACCAGGCTGTCAGGAGGTGACTGATTGTCATTTCCCAAGCGATAGGGGAAGCAGGAGCCAGGTACGTTAAGGGGGTGCCTTAACGCTCTGGTCCGCTGCCTTTCGCAATCCATTTTGGGTTGGTGTGTCGCTCAGGAGGTGGGGTTCGAACTCTTCAGCCCAGGAGAGGGGGAAGTTTTACCACCACAACAGCCCTCACAAGAGCTGCAGAAAACTTGAATTCCAGGTTCATTGCCTTAGCAGCATAATATGCTCTATAGAAAGGGCTCTTAATGCAGGAAATGGCTTCTGAAAGGTGACCATCTTCACCTTTGTATTCGCTTTTGTGGCATATGTGGTGATGACTATCTGACAACTGCTTGAAATTCTACAGCAAAAAGTTGGAAGAAATTTTACCTTTTGCTGTCTTAATCTATATTCTTCTAATATCTTTTAATTAAAATGTGTTTTTCTAGGATATATTTTCAATAGGTTTTTTCCTATATATTAACTGAGGTTCAAGACAAAATACAAAGCAGATATTGAAGGTTCATAATTTAGAACAAGTGCTTTCCTATAATACAAATAATACAGAAGAAGGAAATTCTGTTCCTTATGTATATAGCATGTCTATGCGTAAGTTGTTTTAAAAATTAACCAGAAATAGCTCAGGTTATGATATTTCAAGAAAACACAGTTTGCATTTTATTTGCATTGTTTTTCAACAAACATGGAAGTTTAACATTTGTTTTTACAAAGGCCATTAAATCTCAGTATTTCTAATGTGCAACCTTACAGTAATTGCCACTTCACTTTATTTTAAAATTACTTACAATAAGACATACTTACAATGACATATTCTAGATTTTGATTATAGTTTCCTTCTCTTGCTTCCAAGGCATGACAGATTTACTGTTTCTTTCATCTGATTTAATCATGCATGATACAGTAAAACTGGTGTAAAATCTACATAAAAATATAGTGTCAAAACCTGGGAGACAGATAATACTTAAATGCAGCAAGGATTTCCCCAACACTTGCAATATCAGTTACATTTTCTTGCTTCACTTCCCTTAAGGTTCATTCCATTTCAGATTTCAGCTTCATGAAATAAATGGATCTCTGGACTAGCTCTCATACAATCAGCCTTTCAGAGGTTAATTCTGATCTGGTTTACACCTGTATACCACAGTTTTCAGTACAGAGTCAGGGAGAAATCTGGCCAGAAATTCAGGTTTAGTCCATGTAGGTTTTTTCCTACATTTTCTGGTATTGTATACTGAGTCATTCTGAAATAACAAAGTTTGCATTTTGAATTCATTATTTCTCTGGCTCTTACTCAAAGAATTCCGTTGGATTACTCCCCAGCCTTCTAGTACCTTTGGTCAGAACCACAGTGCATGTACTTTTAAGTACTGATTTCCTTTGTGTATGGAATGATTTTCAAATAGAAAAATTAAATATGGTAGAGACTATATGAGGAATATACTAATTTAATTGGGTCCACTCATGTTTTGCGAATTCCAGGTGGACTAAATGGGAGATTAAGGTCACTATCCATGGACTGGGGAAGAAAGGCAGTGATGAGGGGTGCGTGTTTGTGAGTAGCTGCCAGACCTCTAGTGGACACAATGGAGAAATGCCTATGGCAACACATGACCACCACTTGGGGGATCCTTATGTACTGCCAGGGTAAAGGCTTCCGAGAAGTCTTTCAAAAGCTTATCTATTATTTCTGCAAAAATATATGTTCCATCACTCAGTGTAGTTTTTGATAAAGTGCAGGGGTCCCAGAAAATCAGTTAACATTGCCTTGATTTTTCAACTGATTTCAAAATCCTAATTGCTGTTCTAACTATTAACAGATACACTGGGACATCCCCCCATATTGGGGGATGAGAGGCTGGAGAGCAGCCCTGCAGAAAGAAATGTGGGGGTTTGGGTAGATGGCAAGTTGAGTATTAGTCAGCAGTGTGCCCACTGGCAGACAAAAGGCCCAACGGTGCCCTGGAGTGCATCAAGCACAGCAGCATAGCCAGGCAGTCAAGGGAGGTGACTGTCCCCTCTACACTACACTGGTACGGCCCCTCCTCAAATCGTGTACAGATGTAGGTGCCTCAATATAAGAAGGACATCAAACTGTTAAGAGTGTGTTCAGAGGAGGGTGACCAAGATGGTGAAAGACCTCAAGGGTCAGTTTTATAAGGAATGGCTGAGGTCACTTGCCTTCTTCAGCGTGAAGTCAGGAATGATCCCATTGCAGCCTTCCTCAATGGGGGCAGCAGAGAGGGAGGTGCTCTGGTGACCAGTAAGGACACAAGAAAACAGAATGCAACTGTGTCAGGGGAAGTTCAGACTGGACATGAGAAGGTTCTTCGCTGAGAGGGTGGACAGTCACTGTAACACACTCCCCAGGGAAGTGCCCACAACATGAAACCTGCCAGAGTTCAAGAAGCATCTGGATGACACTCTTAATCATATGGTTTAGTTTTAGGTAGTCCTGTGAGCAGCAGGGAGTTGGACTCAGCGATCCTTATGGGTGCCTTCCAACTCAAGATACTATGTGATTCTATAATCCAAAGGACCACACTTTGACTGAAGAAGGCTGTAATGCAGTAGGCTCTGGCTTCTCCTCCCATGCAGCTGACATCTGCTTTCAGTCACTGCAGGGATGATATTTATGAGCTAGGAATTCTGCACTTGCAATTAGGCTTCCTTCTACCAGAGACATTTCTACCTAGGACACTCTGGCCTAGTTATTTCAGGACTACAACAGGAAGGAAGAAAAGCAGGTGGAAAGAAATGAGGTAGGAATTAAACTACCATCATCAATGTCCCTCAATTTATTATCAACTTCTTAAAAATTGTACAAAGCCATAAGCTGACACTGTAATATTAACCAGGGATCTTTAAAACAATCACACATAGTGCACATTTTGGTATTAATAACAGTAAAAACATCCATCTTCTAGGGTAATATATCACAATATCTAAACAAATGTCTTCCTGTGAATATGTATCAGTGATGTGATGAAGTAGGACACTTGGCATAGTGCCACCCACTGCACTCAGTGTAAACATTTAGATGGTCAAAACTGGTTTTATTTACAAAGCTTTTCATGCATGACAATTGACTTTTTCTTCTAAAGTTATATAAAATACATTTAAGAAAAGGATGACATTGTATATTTCTATGAACAACAATGAAAGAAGAGGAAGAATATTAAAAAGCTTAGCTAAAACCAGGAAATAGTTGCACTGAGGTAAAACTACAGAACAACCAAGCCTTGCCACTGATTATAGGGCTAAAAAGCAGTTCAAATCTCCAAGGCAAGAACTGACACCTGCAGAACAACGAACCATTATTCCTTGATATTTTGAAGTAGCCTTAATAAATGAGACTCAATAACCTGTTGAACTAAAGCAGAGAAAAAAATCAGGTTAATCAATGTTCAATGTTTTTTCACATTTTTGGGGTTGTACTATCTTTTCCTGGCAGATGCCAGCCTGTCCTGTACAATCATTTAATAAAAATCAGACATGAACAAATTTACTTTGGGAAAAAGTTTGCATCCCTTCAGAAAATAAAAGCCCCAGAATGCAAAACCAATACACCCAGTAAGGCAGATGATGGTTTTGGAAGTGATGATCTATTCTCTGGTATGAATAGGCAGATAGCATATGGAAAGTAAATTTTTAAGCCTATAATTGGAAAGTAGGCAGAAACATTTATTAGAAACTACTTGAACTCTTGAGGTAGTCCTACATTTCAACATCTGTGAAGTTGCTGGCTCCCCCTATATGCACAGGGGTCTCCTTGGAGAAGCTACATGTTCAGTGCTGGGCTTATTTTTGGATTCAGATAATTTCTGTAATGGCAGACATTTCACAGCTTTAAAAATGAAGGCAGCATGAGGAAAAAACAATGAAGAGTCCCTTCTTTGCCTGTTTTCCAGAACCAAGTAAGGTAGCCGATTCTGGCACTACTACTGTCTGCCTCCAAGATAAACTAAAGCTAGCCTGACAGGGGCAGGTTTTGCAAGCTACATCACATCACGTCAACTGACAGAGCACCACGGCAAGTGCAACAGACACTCCTTTGTACAAGGTGGGGGAGTAGCTCAGATCCCCTCGTCTGGATCATGTCTGCATCAGCCCTTACACACCATTATTTCTGTCCACAGATGCAGATTCAGGTCAGTGGCATTTTATTACTAGGTACCTGGCTTTCTGAGACAGGGATGGAAACTCCTACCCATTTTGGGCTGATACATTTAGGTGTATTAAGACTTATAGGATAGGGATATTCTTAGAGCTGCAAAACCTCTGCTAGGTCATTACAGCAGTTACATAAACACAGAGCAGTAAAAATAAAAATAAAAGAATTTACATTTGCAATACTTACCACTCCGATAGCCCAGGGCTACAGCCAAATCCATGGAATTATAGCCAGCATCTGTTTCAATAGTCGGATCAGCACCACTTTCTATGTAAAACAGGAAAAGAAACTCTGTTTCTGACAGTGAGAGCTGATAGTACATTATTACTGATAATTCAGTTTGGACAGTCTTACCAAGGAGAATTTTTACACATTTCACATGGTTTCCATGTACTGCATATAGAAGAGGTGTGCCTCCATTCTGCAAAAGCAGAGAAAAGCCTTAGACACTTAATGATTGAGCAGTCTGCAATTATAATTCCTTAACACACCGGTATCAGCAAAAAACTTCACAGGTTTTATAAAACTGAGGTTCTGTTTTGTTTCTTCACAACTTTCATCTTTTTTTGTCTAATTTTGTTTAGACTGTAAATTCACTCCTCAACAAGGATTCAGCATTAGTCTCATTCTCTTTTTACAAAGAACTAGCACGGTCAACCTCTCTTAACCCTATAAAGTTTTGAAAATCTCAAGTATTTCAGAAGACATGGAACAATTTTCATACACCAGCCAGTGCTGTGCCCTCTTTGAAATTTCTGATCAAAGCACCCTCTGACATAAATTCAAGCTAGAGTCCTACCCAGTCATACTCATTGACATCAACTCCACAGTCGAGCAGCATTTTGACAATATCTGTGTATCCTTTACTGCAAGCCAGTGAGAGGGCACTTTCTCGCCCCTTCCCCAAAATCTGAGGATCTGCACCCTGAAATAATGATAATAAAAATCAAATTAACCCATGATTTTTTTTTAGTGTGACGTTTTACACAGAACTTATCTTTAAAATTTTTAAGTGTATAGCAGCATTGACAAACTTAGGAAGGCAAATTGAACTAAAAAGTAAGTAAATTTAAAATCAAGTGGGCTTTCTTTCTTACATTCTGGAGGAGAAATTCCACTACAGCTATCTGCCCATGAGCTGCAGCCCACATCAGAGGGGTGAATCCTTCTTCATCCTTATGATTGATTACATTTTCTGTTTAAAGAAAAATACGCAATTCAGTAATCCGTTTCACTAATACACTGTATGAGATGGTGAAATGCATTAATGTATCCATGGTGAATGGACTGAGGTACCAGTGTGTCCTAAGTCATTCTCATCTTAAATTTAAAAACAAAATCTTATTCCAATGGGGGGCCAAATATCTTTGTCCAAAAAAGAAAAAACCTGTAAAAAACTGTAAAATTTAAGATTTTGGGTTGGTTTTGTTTTTTTTTTTTTTTTTATGTTTTTACTTAGAAATGTTACAAGTTGTCTGTAGTCTGTACCTTTATCTTTGGAAAGGAGAAAGGCTGCTTGAAAAATAAAGAGGTATATTCTGTATTATTCTGTAGAAAGTGGTGGGGGTTTTTTCAATAGCATAAGCCACACAATCTTGTAAATAATTAGCCTGTAAAGCAATATAGATAATATAACTCTATTCCCCCCCATGTTCATGTAATCACTAGGTTATCTTGTGGAAATAATTAAGGTCTACTTCTAGTGCAGCTGCAAGAAGGAAGAAGAACTTTTTATAACAACTGGCTGACTGAAATAGTTGAGTGGAATTTTCTTTTAATATTGTAAGTACTTAAAAAATCCCATGCTTATCATAGCACCATAATATGCATTTTTAATTGCTACTGACACTCAAAAATTGATGTGCTTTCCATACACATAGCTCATTACAAAGTATATAGACTTGGCAACTCATTACTGCTTTCCAGTAAATGTATCAACAAAGATGCACAAAAAGCATGGCTGATTACTAACAGTACAGTAAGAATATACTATTAACAGTACTCAATTCGCTACGTTACACAGAGTTGAAATTTTTGCATGTATTATGGAGACATAAACGTCACACTGAAGACTATTACACAACTCAGAATAAGTAGCACTATTACACTGCAGGTTTGAGGCATGGCTTAAATTACCAGTATATATGTCCTTCAATTTGTACCAGAAGTTAGGATATTTTTAAATACAACTTTGGGGAAGATGTCAAGCACAACAGGGTATAAATGCCCCAAGTCTGAAAGGACGGTGTTTAATCTCCCTCTGTCTCACCTTGTTCAATACGCGTGGCCAGATATAACATTTCTCCCTGAGCAGCCAGCTGGTGAACTGATAACGCTGCAGAAAGGGAAGCAGAAGTGTTACACACACCAATTTTCATTCTGCTCTATTTGGAACCGGGCATAACAACCATCCATTGGTCTGAGCAGTACAGAACTTGGATTTGAGAGTGTAGATTCAGCATATAAGGTTCTACCTCGTACTCTGAACTAGAATCACTATCTTAAAAACTGAAAAGTTTCCGAAGAGTTTCATAGGCTTAGGTAATTTTTTAACTAATGTATAAATTATACTAGAAAACAAAGATACTTCCTACACTGACTCTTTACAAGGCAACATGCTCTCTTCTCTACTGCTGGGTCAGTAACCCAAGATCACATTAAGAATGTTTATCAAATGAAAATAAGCATTGTTTGATATATTAAGGCTGTATAGTTTAAACTGACATCTAAGAGATCACATGCCATCAGGAGACCTGTCATGCTGCTCAATAAAGCCCATAGCATGACTCACTCACTATAATGTTCAACAGATTAGACATTACACAACTATACACAACATGACATCTTAAGGGGAAACAAAAGACCGTGGATTTAAAAAAAAAAATTAATAAAAAGTACCAAGCATTATAAGCAGAATAATTCTTAAGATATTATGAAGAAAAAAAATCTCTGATCCCACAGTGAACTCTGAACAGGTGCATGGTATTGATAATTACAACTTGAAGCAGGTCTGAAAGGTGCTCAGGCAGGAATATATAATAAATTTTCCACATTATATAATAACAAAGTAAGTTAATGATTATGTAATATGTAAATGTTCACTGCCCTCTTCCTATTCACTACATGAAATTCTGATTTTTTCTTTCAGGAAGACTGCGTATTTTATATGAGGGCCTTTGTTGCAGCTCCAGATTAATTTTTTCCATGCAAGCGAGCTTTTTTTTTTAAACACTGGACCTATAATTTATAGATGAAATAATTACAGATGAGGTAAATTGCATATAATTAATTTATAAAGAAAATGCTTGACAATTAAGAATAACAAAACCCCATAAATAATACTGCCTTCTTGACTTTCAAGATCCGTGACAATCACGGCATTTGCAGTAGTCTGTAGCACTCATCAATCATCTAATTTTAATAAATTTAACAAGATGCACAAGTTCTATGCGCTGGGTTTGTGCACGGTTTTTGGTACCCGGGAGGGGGCTACAGCAGCTGGCCCTTTGTGATAATGTATGTAAGAAGGGGAACCTGAGAGGGGTTGGGGAACAAGTTATAAGGACACTGATATGAACACCAAGGTCAGTGGAAGGGAGAAGCAGAGGAGGTGTGCTGGAGCAGAAAACCTCCCTGTATCCTGTTGTGTGAGGGAAGGGCCACCCCCTCCTTGTCACGAATGGAAGTCACTGGAGAAGAAGAGGTTTGCCTGTGGGAGACCCCTGGACTCTGTGGGAAGAATCCCCACTGTTGTAGTTCGGCAGTGGTAGGACTGCAGCACGTGGAGGTGACCCACGCCAGAGCATCTTGAGAAGAATGCATCCTGTGGGGAGGACTCATGGTGGGGAGAGTTTTTGTGGAGTACTGTCTCGTGCGAGGGATGCCATGCGGAGCAAGGAGAAGAATGCAGAAGAGTGCTGTTCCACCCTCCTTGCAGGAAGAAGCAGCAGGACTGACTGTGCCCCCCATTCCCTGCCCCTATGCCCCACTGGTGAAGGAGGTGGGATTATCGGGAACAAAACTGAGCCTGGAAAGAAGAAAGGGGTGGAGGAGGTGTTTTTAAGATGTGGTAATGCTTCTCACTGCCTCTTTTTTTTTTTTTTTTGTGACCTAACGAGCCTGTCTGTGACCTTAATGAGTGAGTGATCCCCTCCCTATCCTCATCTTCGTTCCTGAGCCTTCCGATTAATTTATCTTCTTCCAGCACTGGGGATAAAGGGGTGAGTGACCAGCTGTGTAGTGCTCTGTTGCCCTCTGGGCTCAAACCACAACATTCTGAAAACAAGTATATGAAGTACATTAACTTAAAGCTTAGAAAGGATCAGAAAAATTTTTACCTATTATTTTTTAAGTCAAGAATTAGATCCTTTCTGGAAAACATGCTTCAGTCATGTATTCAGGTGGATTACTATTGGATTACTATTTTATGGTTGGAACCATGTGTAATTAGACAAGACTATCTCAGTGTTTTCTTCCTATATTAAAGTTCATTATAACACCAAAGAAAAAAAATGGAAAAATCTGTCAAGCATCTAACATACAGTTAAAAAAAAATTAACAATAAGGCAGTAGGATACTTACAGTTTACAAGCAGAGGTGTTGTAGAGACTTCGTTTCCCCTGTGTTTGTTAGTTAGGGTAGTTGATTGTTTTATTGGTGAGAAATGCTTAGTAGTTGATGGAGTATAAACATGTCTTACTTGGATACCAGGAGAAGGAGAAGTGTGGATGTTGCATTCAGCTACAGTGAACAGAGAAAACAGACAGGATTTTAGTACTAGTAAGAGCATTGAAAGAAAATCACAGATTTTAAGTTAAACTAGAAAGCGGCACTATCACAAGATCGTTAAAACCCATGTTAAATAAGCTTTGTGACATGTGCTTCTTCCCCTGTGCACTGTGAGCTGAATAAAGGGCTGTATTTATTTCTAGCATAAAATAATGCTCCTACCTGACATGTTCATTATGGTGTAAGGTCACCCTGAGACAAGTCAGGTGTCTAAATGAGGTAAACCTTCGTCTAGATTTTCAACATGCCTGGCATGGATTTATTAAGTAGGATGGCTCCACTAAGCCTGTCATATCCTTACCAACACTCTCCAGCACAATGACATGACACAGCTCTGGTCAGCCATGCAGTTAGGTAACTGCTCAGCTTATCCCTTTGCCTACTCCCTAACCAGTCCACTGCATGGGTGAAGATAGCCTTCACTAATTTTCTTCACCGGGACTTCTTCCACCCCCATTGGATAAAATTGTAACTGCACGATGAGTATTTACCTAGCAGGAAGCGTGATACTCCACGCTAATCTACATAAAATGCAACAGCAGGCCATCACCTAGAATTGAAGAAATCATTCAGTGCTGCTGTGTTAATTTGTACTAACTTTTCTAGCTTTCTATTAGAATCTAATGGCATATTATTACCGAATATGTAAGTTACCTTGGCTTCTAATTAAAACTAGCTTTCGGTTTTGAGAAGTCGCTGAGAAACCAAGTAACATTTAAAAAGCTAACTGATTAAATACTGGAAAGACATACTGAAGGATTAAACTCCATTATTGGCTAAATTGATTTGACACCAGTGTGCACTAGTAATTAACAACTGAAAGCTAATTAACATGCATATTGAATTTACACCATCAAGAACTTCATGATCATAAATCCAAGTGCAACTCTGGGAAAAGAATGAAAAGTAAAGGGTAACAGGATGAAAATTAAATTACATTTTGTTTGTCAATCAAATAGCTACAGCTGACTTGATCAAATTAAGAGACCTACCAGGGATTTTTGACCTGTAGTCCCTGGATCCGCAGGACTACTTCTAAGGGGTTCACAAATATTACCTAAGAAAAACCACCATATTGTTGATGGATCTAAATTTGCTGTTCACATTTACAGCTTCACTAGTAACCACTTATGTCCTGCAAATTAAAAAAGTTTGAAAATTACAATAGCTGAACTGCAGCCAAACAATACAAATCAGAGAAACCATCAAAATCCACAATAGGTTTGTGTTTGTTACAGGAAATATGTCAAATTCAACACCATGAAATCATATATCAGTAACAACTTGAAATATTACAGTGAGTGCTGGAAACCACAATCGTTAAGGAGAAATAGATGGAAATCCTAATTCTGTTCTCCATCAATATGCTCAGCCAGCAACAGCTAGATTAGCTGCAGGGATCCATAACTGGAGCAATGTTTGCTTTCAAGTAGGATAAAGCTAAACTGTCAAGCCAATCCTTCAACAACTACAGGCTTTATACAGTCATATTGATAAAACAAAGTCAACCACAGGACCTATGTTATTCTGTCACTGTACTAGTGGAAAGCTAAAATGTGCTGCAGAAAGCTACTGAAATCGAAATTATTGTGTGGTGCCTTCAGCAGTGTTTTGTGAAGATATATACATTATTCAACAATGTGTAGCATGTTGTAGGACATGTTACACAAAGGAAGTAAGTTTGTTTTCATAATCAGCATCAGCTCTTACTAAATTACACTAGAGACTTTTTGTGTCACTACTTTTTCTATCAAAAAATATTAAAAATATTATTTAAAATAATATTTGGGGAAATTAATTTTACACTAAGAATCCATTAAGCATATAAGAAAAATGTTAAGGGAACAAATGCTAGAGAACTATCACTGATTAACACACATCTAAGGCAGAGGATTTTTTAAAAAACCATAACAGTTTAACATGATGACACAGTCCACACGTAACAATTTGTACAAGGTTCAACCTTTAAATAAGACAGATGCCACTTCAAGGTCAGAGTTAACTTGGTCTTGAATATTTTTACTGTCCTCCTCATTCAAGGATTTCACAAATCGTGAGCAGACATTCATATCAAATCTATTGGGCAAAATGAATTTCATTCCCATGGCGACATTCTGAGCTGGGCCTTCCTCTGTGCTAGAGTCAAGCTGATGCTCCACTTTAATGTCCGGCATGGGTGGAAGGCTGTAGCTAGTAGTACATTCTTCCACAATTAACTGGGCCCCAACATCTAAGTTTGTTGAAGATGCCATGGCCTTGGTCATGTAAAAGTCTTATGCAAAATGTTTCTTCATAGTTTCTAGCCAAGAGCAGTTCCAGCCACCCAAGCTGTATCTAAAGAGATCTGGATGTCTGAGCAACCTGCAACTGAACACAGGTAACCTTGGTTAACAGCATTCTGGTGAAGTAATGCATAAAAATACACCAAACTTGGCTTCATTTAAGCTTATGGCATTTGGTTTTCATAATGAAATCAAAAGTGGTGAAATACCAATCTCACTGCTGTCACAAGCTATGACCAAATCCTCTGTTTAAATTTTATCACATGGATATTTAAGCCAAATTCCATAATGAAGCCAGCTGGTGTCTAAGTGACATTTTAGAATATTAGTCTGGTTGCCTCAAAAACCCCACCACAACCAACGACATTTATAGCAAGAAGAACAAGCTATATGAAAAAGATTATTTCATAAAAACATTAGACCTGAATGAAAAGTTAAAGTGACTTTATGCCCCTTTATATCTCTTCATAACCTGAGTAAAACAAATAGCTTCCACCATACGCGTAGGAAAACGACAAATCCTTTTTACACCGACGACAGCAAAACATCCCACGATACCCGGGGCTTGTTTGACAGCACCACGAGAAGCCTAACGTCAGAGCGGGCTCCGCGGCAGTGCCTGGCAAGCAGAGGCCTGGCAGCCCCGGGCACTGCTGCGGCCTTCCCCCCGCGCTACAGACCGCCGGCTCCGGGACGGGAGGCCCAAAGACGGGCGGCGACGACAACGGCCTGTACGGACGCTGCGGAGCAACCGCCGCCCAGGAACCCCTTCGGCAGAGCGGGCCCAGGGCTCCACCGCCCGCAGCCACGCCTCACCTGAGCACCGCCGCCCCGGCCGCGGACCGAGAGGGGAACGTGACGCCGTACGGCCCCGCCGCGGTGGCGATTGGCCAGCGAGAGTCGCCTGTTGATGACGTCCTTCCCCCACGAGTGTGTGACTCTCCCCGAGGCAGGCGTGGGGCTCTCCATGATGGCCGGGACGGAGGGGCGCAGTACGGCCCTCGCCCCCTGAGCCAGCGTGGATCGGTTCGACCCGGCCCTCCCCGAGCTCCTCCCGGCAGAGCCACCTGGCTGGCTAGGCCGGGAGCGCGGTTCGGCGGCGGCCACCGCTCGCTGAGGAGGTGTAGCGGAGGCCTTTGCCGCCCTTGGCGTCCCCTGCTCCTGGTCAGGCATGGCCACCTACAAGCCGGTGGTGGTTCAGGCTTTCCCCAAGCTCGGGGAGAGGATCACGCAGGACACGCTGTACTGGCGGGGTTACAAGGTAGGAGGCAGCCCTCCGCGGCGCGGGGCCCTGGGGCAGCGGGGCCTGTGACGGACGGCGTAGGGTCCCTGCTCCGGTTCGTGCTTGTTCTGCCAGCTCTTGGGGCTTTCGGGGAGAAGCGGTTCCTTGATACCGACCTGAAACCTATTAAACGGCTTCGTAGGAAGGACATGCGCCCCGGATTGGCTCGACAGACGTAGCTGTTGTAGAATATTTTTTTTTTTTGCTTTCGTGCGACTAATCGAATGTATTTTGAAACACGCATGAGTGAATAAGTTGTTTTTTTTTTTTTTTCATCGAAACACGTAATCGCTTTTAATCCGTGGATTGGAAAAAAAATTCTATGACCAGAAGTAGCCCGGCAGAAGAGAAACAACAGGGTTGTATTAAAAAAATTATTTGTTTCTAAATGGAGTTTTGAGCTCTCTGTAAGAATAGGTTTTGTTTTGCTCTTTTCATCTTTGATGATGTGCTTATCCGTATTTAATTATCTTTATTGAAATTGTTTCAGACACCTGTTCAGATAAAGGAATTCGGTGCAGTAAATAAAATTGATTTCTCCCCAGTTTCTCCATATAACTATGCTGTTACAGCCTCCTCAAGGGTAAGTGGCTTTTTTGAGGTTTTTATATTCTTGTCCTTCGTTTGCTATCATACAAGCTAACTTAATATATTCTTTGTTTTGCTAGATCCACATTTATGGCCGTTACTCTCAGGAACCAATCAAGACATTTTCTCGCTTCAAAGATGCTGCTTATGGTGCCACATACAGAGATGATGGCAATCTGCTTGTTGCTGGCAGCGAGGAAGGTAGCATTC